GCTAATTTCACCATTATATTTGAGAGACAGTTTTGCTGGGTACATAATTCTTGTTTGGAAATTTTTCTCTTTCAGGGTTTTATATATACCATCCCATTGTCTTCTCACCTGTATGGTTTCTGCCAAGAAATCCAAGCTTAGTTTTATTGGTTGCCCCTTGTAGGTAACTTTTAGTTTTTCCCATGCTGCTTTCAGGATTATTCTTTGTCTTTGGTTTTAGTGAGTTTGATGATGGTATGTCTTGGTGATTTTCTTTTGGGGTCTATCCTGTTTGGGGTTTGTTGGACTTCCTGAATGGATATATTCTCATCTTTCATCATACCAGGAAAATACTCTTCCAACAAATCCTCGACAATTTTGTCTGTGGTTTTATTTGTCTCTTCCTGTTCTGGAATTCTGATTACACATAGGTTATTCCTTTTGATGGTATCCCACATGAACCTTAGGCTCTCTTCATGTTGTTTTGATCTTTTCTCTGATTGATCCCTTTTCAAAGAAAGGTATTTGCCTTCAATCTCACTAATTCTGTCTTCCATCGATTCAATTCTACTTTGCCTATTCAGTGTCTTATCTATTTCTGAAAATTTAGTATTAATCTTCTGAATTTCTATGTGTAGACTTTGTATCATTTCTAGTTTTTCATTTATTTTGTGATTTTGTTCTTGTATTGTCCTTTGAAATTGTTCCAGGGTTTTCTCTGTATTTTCCTTGATCTGCTTCTCAATTCATTGAAGGTATCTAAATATAATTCCTTTGAATTCCTTCTCAGGGAGTTCCAATGCTGCATCTTCCTCAAGGATGTGTTTTGGGTCTATATCCTGGTCCCTTGTTTTCCTGTTTTATCTTGCTGCTTTGTGTGGACTGTGATGCTCTGTCTCTGAGGCATTGTGAAATTTTGGTGTTTATATTTAATTGGTGATTGTATGTTGGAGTGATTTGCCCACGATTTTCATGTTCTTTGTATGTTATTTACATAAGTGGGGTACTGTGCTGTGCTCTATTCACTAGTTGGCAGCACTTATACACTCACTACCTGTCTCCTTTCCTGTTATCAGCCTCCTGGCATCCTTGGCAAACAGAGTCTATTCTTAGGTCCTATTTTTGTTCAGGTTTTTGCACTAGTAGGTGCCTAATCTGCTTCTGTATAGTTCCTTTCTATCTAGCTCAGGTCTCCAGGATTATCTTCTGTATCTCTGTCAATTGGTTTCTCTTTCCTTTGTTGAGGAGGGTCTGTGTCACTTGTCTGTCTATTCCTCCATCTTACCGGAAGTCTAATGTGTACTCTTTTATCTGTCTCCAGTCACTTAACATTATGTTTATGAGATTCATCCACAATGTTGTGTTAGTTGTGGTTTATTTTCATTGCTGTATGGTGTTCCATTATGATATGGATATACAACCTTTATTCATCCATTTAACAGTTGATAGACATTTTGGGGCATTTCCTGTATTGGGTTATTATGAGAACTGGTTCTGTGGACATTTTTATTTTTTTAAATTTTGTTTTGGGTGAAAATTTACAGAGCAAATTCACTTTCCATATAGCAGCTCACATACACTTTGTCTCATGACATTGACCACAATTCACCACAGTGCAACAACTCCCCTTCCACTTCCTCCCGATAGTTACC